AGAGAAGAGCAACAAAGATGATTAGGGGACTGGAGGCTAAAGCATATAAGGAACGGCTGCTGGAATTGGGTATGTCTAGTTTAACGAAGAGAAGGACGAGGGGGGACATGATAGCAGTGTTCCAATATCTCAGGGGTTGCCATAAAGAAGAGGGAGTCAAGCTATTCTCCAAAGCGCCTGAAGGCAGGACAAGAAGCAATGGATGGAAACTAATCAAGGAGAGAAGTAACCTAGAACTAAGGAGAAACTTCCTGACAGTGAGAACAATTAACCAGTGGAACAACCTGCCTCCAGAAGCGGTGAATGCTCCAACACTGGAAGTTTTTAAGAAGAGACTGGACAGCCATTTGTCCGAAATGGTATAGGTTTTCCTGCCTGAGCAGGGGGTTGGACTAGATGACCTTCAAGGTCCCTTCCAACTTTACTATTATTATTATTATTATTATTATTATTATTATTATTATTATTATTATTATTATTATTATTATTATTATTATTATTATTATTATTATTATTATTATATTATAGAACTCTTGTTTTTGACCATCTTCAATGGGGCTCCCTCTGTTTATATACTGTACCTTATAATAGTATTATATTCTGATAGTAGCCTATTACCACCGCATGAACCCTTGTACTAGAAGAATCCTGGGAGAACTTCTTTACATCATTGGCCTTTTTCCTATTGAGCGGAGAGGCAAAAGTAGCCATGGTTTAAATGTTGGGATCAGGTTGAGTTGTCAAGGCTGAACATGGAATTCTATAATGACGCGGCTTCTTTCATCAGTCATTCTGTATCTTCAACTTTTTCTTGAAAGCCAGACTAGCTAAAATTTGGAATCTTCCCCATTACTGACATATTTTAGTGTTTGCACAAGTGACAAGAGTAGTGTGGGATTCTTTAGAATTCAAACAAACCCTTTCCCGGTTGGTCCTTGGTAATTCATGCAGCATGATCTCATGAACCACATAAACATATTGTGTGAACTCAGCAACTATCTCATCTGAATATACTTCAAGCCAAGTATCACTGTTGGAGACTATTCCCAGTTTTGTTTTCTGAGGATACTAAAGACTGTATCTGGGGAAATTATTACAATCTATTCTCCTAACAATCCACTAGAGATAGGTTCTATGAGAGATCTTGACCCAATTTCTTCCCACAAGTTTGGTGGACCAATAGAAACCCGTCTTTCCTTGTTTTCTAGTTCATTCCTTATAGAAAGTCATCAATGGAGCCATGTGGTCCATATCACTGCTTGGTTTTATATGGAATATGTTATAAATATCCAGGCATCCCTCTTGGAATTAGTTAAGAAGTACTTAACACTGAAAGTTGTTTATGCAGCTCTGTAACTTTATTGATCAGCTTGATTGCACAGATTTCATTGTTTTTCCCATTCATGGTTTCCAGAACAAGTCTAACCTGAGACATATTTTCCCCCACCCCACCAATACATTCCACTTCTCTTAATTTATTTTCCCCTCAGACATTAAGGTT